AAACACTAAAAATTGTGGCTTTTAGTGGAGGAATGCTTTATTATGACAAATCCCATCAGTCTGAATACAAGAAGCAGACAGATAAACAGCAAAGCACACACACGCACACAGAGGCAGCCACTCCTTGCAAGCAGCCAGATATAATCTAACCGTTCCGAGAGCATCACACAGAAACATTTGGTAAAGGCGTGGCGCTCCTATATTCCGATTCCCATCATGTTTTACCATGTTTTTCCATCCAGATGTTCAGCCAATGAGCGGTCCTGCTGTGTTTTCCAGTGAAGGCAGGAGGAGGCGGAGGGAGGAATGCTGCAGGATGCTTATTATTATGGCTGTCAAACCCAGTGGCGATTAGACAAAGCGGTCCTGTTTAATGTAAAGATTCGGGGAGATGATTTGCACCATGTCCGCCGCAGCTGTCGCGGTATGGCTTGGTACGGGTACGTATCGACTGAACTCGGGAAATATCCCGACATCTTTGAAAACGGTTCGGCTCTGGTGAAGTATCCGAGCTAGTTAGCTAGCCAGTTAGCTCGCTGCCGTTGAGCATTTTTTTTCCAAGAGGCTGAGGTGGAGACAAGAGGAAAAAATGGCTACCAATTTGACAGCTAGACCATTACACGTTATGGGTTTTCACAGTGCACTTAGTGACAAATTGTGTTCTCTACGGTACCTTACATTTCCAGCTGTTAGTAACAACGTTTCTCTTGCTAGCTGTGTTTCTTGTCGGTCGTTATTTCAGCCTTTTTCCCCTCTTAGCGCAGGCCTGGTTTATGTAGAACAGGTGTGTTATGAATGCCTAATTACCTAGCTCCTGATAGTTTAGCAGCTCAGGTTATCCAAAATTTAATGTAGGGAATAGGTTCGTTTATTTCAATACACTGCTCCTAAAAGTCTGCACGCTCATAGCTGCCACTTTATTAGGTACTAATACAGTCTCTGCAATGAGTCCCACCTCCATGAAAGATGTAAGGTTCAATCACTGACCTAAGCCTGAGATATTATTGTGGTTACAATCTTAAAAGAAACATATACATTAGATTTCCATATCAGTATAGCCTGGAATCAGCAAATGTTGTTAAAAAGTGCCTTTTGATAACAATTAGTTATCAAAAGAAGTGCTGAGTAATGGATAATGTCATCTCAGTGCCCCAGTTTACTGCTATAACACTGGTCTGCATATATACGTCATTCTTTTTGCTACTGGGAACTTAAGACCAGCTCTTTATTTTGCTTTTTTTTTTTTTTTAACCCTGATGATGACAATTTTAATATCCATCCATCCAGCCTGTCCCATCTGCCACAGGGCATATGTCAGGGTAATGGCACATGGCATGAGCATGTATTGAGACTGCGGTTGGGGAAAGCACTCAGAGGGGACTGGTGGTGGGTCCCGGGCCGGGCAGATTCCCATGTAGTTATGAAAGGCGAAAGCATTGAAAAAGAGAGGGAGGATTTTTACCGACAACATCACATGGATTTTGTCAGGATGAGAATGTAACAAGTGCACCTTTAGTGACATTCCAGTACATTTCAACATGTTATCCTCAAAATCAAGATAATAGAAAATTCTTAACAACCTGGATGAATGCTTCCCATGCTTGCTTCCTTTTGAACCCATCCTCAAGCACCAGTTGATGGATTTCACGACAGACAAAAACACCTTCCTTAATTTTGGCTTCACTTTTCTTGAAACCAAATCATTTCAGTCCAGTTGTCTCTAGTTGTCAAATACTTGCGATATTATAACTAAAACAAGGAAATGAGACATTCCACATGAAAACAGTTTTCAGATTTGGAAAATAGCAAGTAGAATTTGTTAAAGTGCAGGCAAAAGAATCCCAGTAGCAAAACACTTGTTGACCAGTTTGTTTTTTCAGGCTTTGATAAAACGTCAAAATTAAGGGGCCCATTCACAGCACTGTTACTATAGTGTTAACTAACATGAAGAGAGTGGGATATTTTACTCCACAGTCAAAACACACTATAGCTTTATACACAGAGACCTAATACTCATAAATAGAGAAGTGCTATTGAGTTTGAAAGCGGAAGGGCTTTCAAACTGAGAGCTAATCCTTCACAAAGGCTAGTGTCCTATTGTGCAATTTTCAAGATAGTGTCAGGATCTGCACTGAAATCTAGTGGCTTCTTCTCTGACCATATGCCACCTCTCCAACAAGCCACATTAAATTCAGCCTGGCGAATTGCTTGATATAAATGCGGCAGTCTGTAGTGCAGTATTTGTTGTCAAGTCAATATGCTTACATTTTGTTTTGCACTTTGTCTAGATTGGTTTTAACATTTTGTGAAAAACGCCTACGTTAATATTTTAGAAAACATTTCAAACTCCTCTAAAACAATAACTATGACAACAGGCTTTAATTAATGTTGGACGGGTGCAACAGACTGAATCAGATTTTTGTCAGAGTGCTTTAAAAACTGGGTGTTGTTGTTTAAATTGCTGCTAAAAAAAAAAGAAACTTGTTCCATTCATGCTTTTATCCATTGATCCAGTAGTTTGCATTGTGCATGCCTATGACACGAAACACAGCGCTTTACACGGGAGAAATGTCCGTGTGGAGCAATCCGTGGCCTTGAAGCAGAGAGCAGCCGTGTCCAGAGACGGTGAGTGGGTGTGTGCAGTGGTGCACGTCATGTGTTGACCCGCTGTCCCCCTCCCCCTCCCCTCGGTCATAACACAGTGACACGCTCAGCTGGTTCCCCATTAATACTGGCATTATTGTTTTGAGTTGTCTGCTGTCCCCCAGACTTGGCCCACTTTCTTCTGCTGTAGCTGCACTTTAATGAATTTGAACGTCATCTAAACCTTGTCCTTGCTAGAATTAGAATTCCTCCTAAATCATTAACTATTACAGAAAGCAATATTTATCCTGCTTAACGTGATGTCGATACTTTGCAGCACTGTTTTAAAGCTAATGAGCACTGTAGATACATTTTTTATTTACTTACATTTATTGAGCGCAAGAGGATGGAACCGGTGGTTTCTTGCCCGCCCTTGTCTTTATCCGTTGACTTCTGCTTGTTGTGACACCAGCAGCGACTTTCACTTCCATGTCTGAGAACAGGTCGATTCTCAGACTCTGTTGGCAGAATACTACAACAGTAGCGATCCTTGTTTTCTGGGCTTCCCCGCTAAACACCAAAGGAGCACATGCATTCCTCATGACCCAGACTACATGTGCACATGAAGCTGACTCAGCAGAACTAAAGGACATCCTTCTGTTGTCTCTCATCTAGTTTGAGGCCTCAGTTAGCTGGAGCCAATTGAAGGAGGGAGGTTTACTTTTCTTCACGTTGCCAATGGCATTTTTAACTAATCCAATGTCAGTCGTGACATTATCCCAGTCTAAGGTCAGCCCAGAAAATCATAAAGTTGGTTAGTTATTTCCACCACCCCTAAGGCCTGTCAAGCATCTACTATGGTATGATGGCATGTGGGTTAAAAAATTAAAAAGCAGTGTTTGAATGATTTTAAGCAATTCATAGAGAATATAGACTGTAGTGCAACATTTCTGTTGTTGGGGAAATCTAGCTTCTTATATGTGTTGTCATGCACATCTTGCCTCACTACCTTTGTCCTCCAACTGAAACTGCTGGGTTATTATGCAGTGGACAGTTTACCATTAACCTTAAATTGGTGATGTATTGGTGTACGGTGGAAGTGCTGCTGGTCATCAACTCGAGAAGGCCTGGCAGAAAGTCATCCTGCTGCAAATAAGCAGATCTGATGCTATTAGTAAATCCTCGGTGTAGCTTAGTTAGTGATCTCTACTTACACTGGCTGAGCCATAAGTGGAAGCTGCTGCATTGAAACATACTTAAGCTTCACTGACTAAAAAATAAAATTGTCTTCATCCCTAAATCTTTGTTGTTGGATGAAAAGGTTTAATATCAGTAGGTTAAAACACTTCGTTTTTTCTTGAGGCTGTTCGAATGTCCTACATCTCCCATCTCCGAATCTCTTGCAAATGTTCACAGCACATCCAGTTTTGGGCTCGGACTAAAGCAGCGTAGCCAGGATTTGACCTTGACCGGCATGGTCTGAAAGTGGTCCTTTGTGTGGCGGAGAATTAATGAGGCCCAATGTGTCACATAATAGAATCCGAGGGCGTGCATTCAGCTTTGAGGATCGACCGAAGTCATCAGCGAGTAAGCGGTCTGCTGAGACTGAATGATGGTTTATTTTTGGTCTCAGACTAACCCAGATCCTAATGCGATGGGTGCAGCGGTTGCGGTGAGAAGAGCCATCGCACAGATTAGTCATGCCCAGGTGGTTTTCTTGAAAAGAGATGTGGTGGATACGACCTCAGGTTGTTCATCTAACACCACATTTAGCAGCCGCTAAATGCTATTGATTGTATCTTGCCGTGACTGAGCCCTTGGGGGCTGTAGACACATGGTCAGTTCAGCATCTCTGTCACTGACCACAGCTGTAGGAGGGTTTAACATACATGTGGGACTGTTTTATGTCTTTAGAGTTGCAGTGTCTCACTGGTGTACTTGTAGATGCTGAGGGTTTATTAATTAACTGCATCTAATGCTCACTTCCCCTTCTCATTGACATGAATTAAAATGTAAATCCTGATATTACTCTCTTCAGTGCATTCTCCTTGAAAGTCAGCCTGTGTTCAGTGTAGAAGGAGAAGAGTACTTAATATTATGATGCTAATGATAGAAAATGCTGGGTTGATTAGCAGATTAGAGAGGGTTGTAAAACTTGGGAAAACCAGCCACTCTTTGCCCGTGGGAAGGCACATATGTACATAGAGACTTTACCCAGGCTTTTACCTAGTTGCTTAATGTGTCTGGAGTTGTATGTCCACGGGCAAGAACAGTTCAAACCCCCTCTCTCTCCCCCTCTCTGGCACTTCATAGCACAGATCTCCAGTCCAGTCTCCCTTCCTTCGTCTTTGCAAGCCCTCCTCCCCCTCTTCTTCTTCCTCATACACTCGGCCTCAGTCTCCCATGGTGATTAAAAATTGAGTTCCCACCCACTGTGGCACAGAGAAGGCAAAAATCGAGAACGGAAAGAGAGAGCGAGAGAGGGAAAAAAAGAAAACTCTGTGCTAAAAAAAAGCCGTGCTGTACACAAGCAAAAAAAGATGAAGCAAGAGAGGAGGAAGTAATGAAAGAGAAAGACACAAAAGGAGGGAGAGAGAGAGGGAGAGAAATGGGTAAATCACCCCCGGTCTTACATTGTGTAAATTTTTGTTAAGGGGCTACCATTTCCCTAGTGATGCCCTTCACAAATAAAGACTAAATGTTTGTGTTTGAAACGGAGCGGGGGCTAAAAAGACAGCACAATGGAGATCAAGTGGGGGGGAGGGCGTTAAAAGAACTCTGTACAATATGAGTGACTCTCATTACTGCTGCTTTCACTCACAGTACCTCAGACGCTTTCCCTTTCTTTAACTGGTTTTGTCAAGCGCCTCTTATTTACAGAGCTGTAGTCTGTCTGAGCAATAATCTGAGTTTTTCTCTTCACACTTGTTGACGTTTGTGGGAAGTGAATGCTTCTACCTTTACAAGAATGCAGATGCCAGGCAAGAGAAACAGATAGAATAGATCACCGCAAACACTTATTGATTTCACGTTTAAACTAGTTTAACATTTTCTCTTTTTTTCCATTTGCTGTTGCTGGCAGGACATTAAAGTGGACTTTAAATTGGTTAAGGCTATAAATAAAATAGATATGACAGTCTACGCAAAAACATTTGGACATAGTGTTTATTGTGTGTACCAAAATATGAAAAAGCACCAAGGTCCACTTTATTGATGAATAGTACGCATACAGGAAATGTTCTGCTTACTTCTGTTGTCTTTAAAATGTGTGTTTCAGTGGTCACCATCCTGTCGAGGTCGCACGCAGACCGTAATGTCTACCCGTCTGCAGGCGTGTTGTTCGTCCACGTTCTGGAGAGGGAGTATTTCAAAGGAGAGTTTCCTCCTTACCCAAAATCAGGTATAACGCTGTCACATTCACACTGTGATCAAAAACATGTTATTATCATGTTTGTATAGTATATCATCAATATATCTGAATATCTAACTACATCTGAAACATTTGTAGAGGTGGTGATTGCATATAAACTCCATAGAGCGCTGCTTATTTCATAACGCACGTTATTGGCCCCCTTACCGTTCCTCTGCTCTGTCTGCAGGTGACCCCAGCAACGATCCGATCACTTTCAACACCAACCTGAAGGGCTACCCCGACAGGCCGGGCTGGCTACGATATATCCAAAGGACCCCACATAGTGACGGAGTGCTCTATGGTTCTCCCACTGCAGAGCACATTGGCAAGCCCACTGTCATAGAGGTGGGTGGTTGGACTGCTTTCAAAGTGAAAAGAGTGGCGATTAAGTAATTTGTGCTGCTGCTTATTTCAACTATGGAAAGTGACTGCTTGTTTTTGTGCCAAAAGTCTTGAGTAAATTTAAAACATTCAATGAAATCTGTCAAGTTGTACTCCAAGGATGAGTTGGAATTTATTTCACTGAGCCCAGCTGATTTGCATATGTGTTTGGAAGCGACGTAGTACTATGTTACTCTTACAGATGCTAGACTTAAATTCCTTTATACTTGTTATGCTTTCCCATAAGCTACTGTACAAATTCTTTTCCCAAAAGGCTTAAAGTGTTCAACGGCGCCTCAGCTGGGTACAGAACCCGGGTCGTGTATCGAGCTCAGCCTTGTCTGGAGAACTGCTGCCTTATAAGCTGGACTGATCTGGGCTTAAACTTTCACCTCTGTGTCCTACAGATTACTGCCTATAACAGGCGCACTTTTGAGACAGCGCGGCACAACTTGGTCATAAACATCAAGGCTGCAGAAGGTAAGAGGAACTTGTACATAAGAGCTTAGAGCAAACTGAGATCAGATTGCGCAGCTTCGCTGATTAAATCCTGGAAGCACACTCAGTACTTGGACTGTGTAATGAGCTTCCCTTAAGAGAAAATGTTGTCTTTGATTACTTTTATCAAGCATAACCAAAAGTTCATCGTTGGTCTTGGAATGTAAATACAGCAGACGATAAAGTAACATCACTGCACTGAGTAGCTGTTCTGAAGCTTTAATAAGATAAGTCAATTTCATGTCAACTTGTCAAAATCTGCGGATGAAGGTTATGTGATACGATCTAGGGCTGCCACGATTAGTCGAC